CCAAACCTCTAGACCTCTTCACTATGACAACATTACTTTCATATTATTAGGAAGATATGTAGGTATGATTTACTGGCAGTTTGGGGTGGCGTAAGATTTAGCATGTTAGTTGATGTATCTTTTAGGGGTTAGGGATAAATATCCCTTAATTGGAATGTTACTAGAGAAATCAGCTAGTGAGATGAGGGGTCTGCCCTTTTTGAAGAATTATGTATTTCATTTATGAGTAAAGCAAGTGCGTGTGTGCATGTGTGTGTGTGTGTGTGTGTTTTGTGTACGCACATATGGACATAATCAGTAGCATTGGATTTGGATAATAGGATATAAAGCTGGAAGGGACCTTAGGAATCATATAGTCCAATTTTTGTGTCATGGACTTCTTTGGCATTTTGTTGAAGTCTATGGACCTCTTCTCAGAATAATGTTTTTAAATGCACACAATAAAATACATAGGATTAAAAAACTAATATTTAAATGCAGTTATCAAAACAACAAAAAACCAAATTTATACTCTAGTTTGAGAACCCTTGACCTAGCCGATTCCAGCACTACAAATGAAGAAACTGAGGCCCAGAGAATCTAAATGACTTTCCCATGATCACTCTGGTAGGAAGTGATAGTCAAAACTTGAACTCAGTTCCTCTGACTGTACTTATCATGCATTAGGTGAAAGTGTCTGAAAACAGTGTTTTGTACATCGTGGATGCTTAATGTTTATTAAATGGGGAAAAAGTAGGGAGGGGAGTTATTGATATTCCTAAAAAGTCCTTTCTGTTTTGTTTTTAGCTGTCCAGCTCAACCCCCAACATCCTGGCCTCAGTCCCTGCTTGCTTTGGTCTCCATGATGAGGGAGCCAAAAGTCTCTTTCCCACTGGAGGGAAAATGTGACTGTGGCTTGGTTTTGTAGTTGTCAAAATGTGCCACAGATATTGACTTGATAGGCATTTAGGTTGAACACATAGGTATTAAGGGTTTGATCTGGGAGCCAGTATTTATATACAAAGGAATGAAATCTCAACTGACTGTGTGGCGTGATTTTCCATTCTTAAAATGCCAATTAAAACAACAACAACAACAGCAACACTATTTTCAGACAGGAGAGTGATTAAAAAAAAAGTCTTGTTGCCAGTTCAAGTACTGACAAAGTGAGGAAAAAAGTAAGAATATTTCCATTGTTTCTGACAACCTCTTTCCTCAGCCTCCACTTCCTCTTCCCTCCCCCGCTTTTATCCCTCCTGCCCAATAACAAAATCCTAAGCCTTCCAACCAAACAAAAAACTTACCTTGGCAACAACTCTGCTCAAGGCTATGAGATTTGGCATGAAGAAGGCCGGTGACTTCAGCCAGATTTCCCCTTCTTTTCCAATCCTCTTACTGGGATATGGATCACATCACTCTAAATACAGAGAGCTTTTGATAAGCTGGAGGTTGTGAAGCCTTTAAGCAAATTTGGGTCCTTGGAGGAGCAACAGGACCAGTGGTATTAAGTTAGCATTTTGGATCAAAAGTTGAAGTTGGGGTATGGGGGAATGTCTATGTGTAGGGGGGGATGGCTTGGTTTGGAACAGCAGTGTCCATGGAGCTAGGAGGCTGCTTTAATTCATTTCTAATTTAGTACTTGATTCAATTTAGATATTTAGAAACATATGTAAGGTTAACACAATGCATGATCATATTTCTCCTCTGCCCCAACCATACCTCTCCCCCTTCAGATATAAACTTTAAAATGAGTAGATTATAATTTATGGCCAAATACTGCTAAGCCAACCACAATTTAACCACCTCCAAAGGAGCTACAGCTAGACTTTTTGGAAGTTTGAATGGTAGAGTGGATAGAGAGTCAGTAAACCTGAGAATCAGGAGGGCTCAAATTCTGATTTTATGATTTGATTTTATGTTTTTATAGTGGGAAGGACAATCATTCATAAGGCACAAAGAGTAAACACAAATAATAAGACATGATGTGGAGTCATGGTTAAAGGGCTGGTCTGGGAGTCAGAAATATCTGGGTTCAATATATAGGCAAGTCATTTAACCTCAGTGCTTCAGACAACTCTCTCTAAGACCCTAAGTTACAAAATTGTTGATCTGTATTGATGGAATGAATTTCCTTGTTAGGAGTTCCTTCTTCTGAGGAAATCAGTGGTGCAGATTGCCCTCTCCCCCAATTACATAACAAAACAAAACAAAACTCTTTTAAGTTACTGGAAAATCCTCTTCTCTTGCCTGTTTGCCATTAAGATTTGATTATGAGTCTTTCTGCAGCAATTATTTGTGACGATGCTTTATAGTAAGACTTTATCTGCTTTTATTATTTCACAACTCTATGATGAATTATTGCTATTCCCATTTAAAGCTAACTGAGACCCAGAAAAATGAAAGCATTTTTAGCACACAGCAAGTATGGGGCAGAATCAGTATGAGCATTTGCTGCTCTTGTCCTTTGAAGTTGTTGCCTGTCCCCTGCATCTGCCTGACTCTATTGAGCACATAAGCGAAAAGACAAGGAAGAGAGGCAGAGCTGCTTTATTCCTTGTCTTTGTCTCACTTATAGCCTCTACCAAGTAGCCTGGTCAAATGAATGCCCGAGGTGCCAGGATGCTTGCCAGAGCTGGCAGGAGTGGTAAGCTACTGTATCTCGATGCCCTTCTCTTAGAAAAAGTTGTTCAGAAGAGGCTTTTTGAAAATCAGAATTCGTCCCAAAAGAAAGTAAATAAAAAGTCATCCCACCCTTCTCCTCCCGCTAATTTGACCTTTATTCTATCTAATGATGCACGTAAGATTCCTTTGGATTGGAATGGTGGCTTATACATCCTTTGACTGTAATAGTATTTGCAAAGAGCAGTGACTTGTTCCCCCGCGGTCTCATCTAATTATTAAATCCTCCTCATTCTTCCCGTTAGATAGGTCTATTTATCTTGAGAATATATTAAGTAATATCCAGCGTCATAGAGAGGCAGTGATTTTATTTCATAGTCTCTTCTAATTACCAAATCCTCCTTACCCTTCTTCTTGGATAAGTATATTTACCTTGGGAATATAATATTAAGTAATATCCAGTATCATGTGGGGGTGTGTGGATAATAAGAGTTGATCATGATGTAACACTTCAAGGTTTACAAAGCACTTTACATTCATGATCTCATTTGAGAGACCTTCACAGCAACACAGTGAAGTTGTTGCCATGCTACCATAGGTGTCATTATCCATATTTTATGGATGAAGAAAAGCAAGCTCAGAGTAGTTAAGTGACTTGCCCAGGGTTACACAACTAGTAAGTCTCAGAGGCTGGATTTGAACCTAAATCTTATTTCACCCTGTGTCCAACTACACCACCTGCTGGCTACAGATGTCTTCCTGGGGGCCATTGGCAGGAATTCCATTCAGGAAGTGTGTAGGTTCAAAAGAAATACTGAGAAATAGCCAGTGGAGGAATAAAGATACGGAGGAAGAGCCCTTTATCTCAAGTTCAACTCTTTCCCATTGGGATATGGAGTCTTAAAGAAACATGGAAGGCACTATTTGCACTCTCATGCGCGCTCTCTTTCTCTCTCGCTCTCTCCTTCCCTTCCTCTTTCTCCTTTCCACTAATGATTAGGGAACCTCTACTGATATCTCTACCTTACAAAGTCAGAGAATACTTTTTTAAACGTTCTTTTAATTAAAAGACTTACCTATATTTTTTATTTTTGTATGACAATCATTTCTGGATATAACCCCTCCTCCTTGGAATTGAACCCTCCTTTTTTTTTTTTTAAGCAAAAACAACTAAGTAAAAAGAGCCAATACACAGCAACTGGGTCTGGCTTTGCATGTAACATTCTGTCATTTATGATGGCAGGAGGGCAAAATGAGGTTAATCCACCTGTAGCTTCCTGACAGTTCACAGCAGCCTCTCATTTTTCTGTAGAGCAGAGGGAAGCTTGTTTCATTATCTGCTCTCTGCATAATTATACTCAGGATTTCCTTTTAGTGGTCTTTTATTGTGCAGGTTCTTTTTGGGAGAGTAAGAGGTGGTATGCTTTTGCAGTGAAAAAATGATTTTGAATGAGTTTCTGTATAATTAGGGGAATCCTCCAACCTCTCCATACTTGAATTTCCTCAGATGTTCCCACGTGTTTCTAGAACATAAGTATATAGGTATAACAATGGTGATAATACCTTGGGTTTCAATAGGTCCTGAAGAACACACACAGACATTGTATCATTTATTTTCACAAAATACCTATTTATGTAGAATGGGGCTGGTGTTAGCCACATTTCACAGATGGACAACCCGAGAGACAAAGAGGTCAAGTGTTAAGCCCAAGTCCATCCATTGGCAGAGCCAAGGCCAAGGTAGAAGCCTCCTTCTTGGCTCCTTCATAAAAGCATTTTGCCAAATATTGAGAAAAAAGACAATTAGAAATGAATGTTCCAACAATAAATGCTTAGATAACTAGCATTTTGTCTCTGGATGTTGAATAGAAAGTAATTAAACTTTTTTTTAAGATCTGGAAAAACATTATATAGGTTGTAAAGGTCTGTCCAAGGTTTTCTAGTGAACTCCTACTCTGTCTTCAAGACAACCTTCTGTGCCTCAGCTTAAGTACCCATAAGAACCTCTGCTCTTGTGTTTCTTCTCTCTCTGGTGTGTTTACATTCATAACTTTAATGTGATTTTTAGAACAGAGAACATTTGGTCAGGAAATTAGCATTCCTTTTCATTATGCATTTTTTCCCTTGCAGATAAGGCCTCAATGTGATGTTTTTGTTTAAAATAACTTTCTAACTTTTTCTGTGGATTTTATACTCAAGTTACAATTTTTCTTCACATAATTTTTTTTTCTGGGAAAGCTCATGCATTTTACAGTTGGCCCGTGAAAAATGTATGTCTGGTTATTTTTAAAAGGAGAAGAGCACAGTTTCCAAATTGTTCCAACTTAAAAAAGGGGAGAAAGAAACTGAATGTCTGGATAGTATTGTAATTTTAGTTTTCCTTTTCTCTCCAACTGATCTAGATAAAATCCTTGATGTTGAAGCTTCAGAAACTTCAGGAAAAAGCAGTTGAAGAAGATAATTATGATAGAGGTAAATGCTTTTTTTCCTCCTTTCTTATCTCTTCTCTTTCTCATGACTTCCCCTTTCTTCTCTGTCCTCTATCTTTCCAAAATGAAGAATCTTGGTAGACCTCTGAGAAGAATCCAACTAGGAATATTCGAGTCTCCTATAATATAATTCTTCTGAGGATTTCAAAGCCCTACATGTAAATCCTTTTTCTTACAGTTGTAATTGTTTGCCAACAGATCTAGGCAAAGTATACAACACAGAAATTATATTTACCCTTTGTCTACTAATTCTTATTTTTTTTTTTTGGTGAGGTGATCAGGGTTAAATGACTTGCCCAGGGTCACACAGCTAATAAGTGTTAAGTGTCTGAGGCTGGATTTGACCTCAGGTCCTCCTGACTCTATTCACTGTGCCACCTATCTGCCCCTTGTCTACTAATTCTTCATGGCAACTGTGGCCTCATCAATATATTTTTCCCCCAGTGATGCAGATTACTACTCATTCATGCTTGCACAAGTATAAAGAAAGAAACACCCAATCCATTTCTTTGTCCAGGAGGACAAAATGCTCAAAATGTGTGGTGTTTCTACAAGCTTAGTAGACACTATACTGCAGGGCAGTCACTGCAGCTCATCAGCCTCTTCCTCTCTCCAATGAGTTGCTGGGTTTTCACTGCTTGGTAAGGAGAAAAAGGAAAGTGATGAGATATGGTAACCAAGAGGCAATTGCTGTGGACCAAAGTCAGAGGAATGGGGAGAATGTGTTGTTCCTCCCAGCCATTAGACAACTGGAACTGGTCTTAAAGTCATGGGAATGCCAGGGCAGAAGCCTTTATGGAAGGCTTACCCTTCTGGGTCATGACATTGAATCCATTTTTCTTGTTCCCTAAATGACTGGAGGGAGAGGCAGTTGGAGATCCCTATCAGCAACAGGAAACTGGATAGAAAAGCCCTGGGAGTATGAACTGCATCCTGAATTCTGTCTGGAGTCCATACCCGTGATCTCTGTGATCAACCAAGACCAGGGGCTAGGATTCTGAGTCCTCATCTAATGACTAGCATTATTGGATGGCTTGAGATGGACATCAGCCGGAAACTATGTTGTACTGTTGAACTTTCTTTGCCTGCTTATAGAAGGAATAACCATGGCAAGTTAACATGCCAAACTGTTTCTTCTCTAGAGCTCCTGGGCTTGAAATGGCCCATGGAATGACCCGTGTACTGCCTGGGGGCTTCCTCGCTCTAGCAGAAGTGGATACTCAGCCTTATGGCCAGTGTGTGTGTGTGTGTGTGTGTGTGTGTGTGTGTGTGTGTGTGTATGTGTGTGTATGTGTTTTTAACCATGTATGGTTGTATTGTTTTTATTGATTCTCTCCAGAGACTAACACATTTTAGGTTAAGTATGTTCTGTCTGTCCCTATGGAGTGTTGACTCCACTATGCCAAAGTCAGGTGACTAGAGCTTAGTGAAATATACTAAGTTCAGGAAAGAGGTAGGGTTTTCAAATAGGATAGGCAATTCTGTTTGAGTAATTAATCATGATGACACCCTCAAGATTAATGAGATTTCAGGACTACTTCGAGAGAGGTGGAGCTGAGGAATAGGAAGCCATCTACTCTCTGCTAATTGCAGAGAACTTAGTCCTTCTGCAGGATTGACTTAACTCTGAGGGTAAGCATGGTTTTCCCTGCTCCTAATTCATCCTGATGAAAAGGATCAGGTAATGGCTAAAAATGCTACCTAGTTTTTAATGAAGTATCATTATTTTTTCTTCAAAAAGAAAACATACCAATTTGTTTATGCCCTATTATTGGTTTAGGAAGTGTGAAAGTTACCTTTTGGAATTGGTAGGTCAGTTGGTCATTGGCTGGCATAAGATTGGCTATGACTCCCTCTGAGATACTCCCTCAACTCAGTGCTCATGAATTTGCATACTGTGTTTCCACAGATATGACTACTGCTCTAGGCTCCAAGTTATCTTGTGAGCTAGTCAGTCAGTTAATAAGCATCTATTAAGTACATACTATGTGCCAGGTGCTAAATACTGAGAATACAAAAACAGGTAAAAGACAGTCCCTGCCCTCAGGGAGCTCACAGTCTAATGGGTGCGATAACAAGTAAAAACGATAACAAGAGATAACAAGTGCAAACACACTCTAAACAGGATAAATAAGAGATAAAAGAGAGAAAGCACTAGAATTGAAAGGTGTTGGGAAAGGCTTCCTGTAGAAGGTGAGATTTTAGTTGGAACTTGAAGGAAACCAGGGAAGCCAGGAGTTGGAGATAAGTAGGGAGCACCATTCCAGGCATGGGAGACAGCCAAAGAAAATGCCCAGAGCTGAGAGATGGAGTGTCTTGTTTGTGGCACATCCAGTAGGCCAGTCTCACTGGGGAATAGTGTATAAGAAGACCGGAAAGGTGTGTGTGTACGAGGTGGTGGTGGTGAGCTGGTTATGAAGGACTTTGAATGCCAAACAAAGGATTGGGTATTGATACTGGAGGGGATAGGGAACCACTGTAGTTTAATAAGTGAAGAGGTTGTGTATGACATAGTGAGACATGTGCTTTAGGAAAATCATTTTGGTGGCTGAATAGGTGATAGATTGGTGTGAGGAGAGACTTGAGGCAGGAAGACCAACTAGCAGGCTATTGCAATAGTTCAAGTGATGAGGTGATGAGGGTACCTGGGTAATGGCAGTATCTGAAGAGAGAAAGGAATACATTTGAGAGATGTTGCAAAGGTGAAATTGCCAGAACTTGGCCACAGATTGGATATGGGGAGGTGAAAATAGTGAAGAGTTGAGGATGATGCTTACATTGCCAGCCTGGAGGAGTGGGATGATGGTGGTACCCTCCATAAAAGTAAGGAAGTTTGGAGGGAAGGAAAGGGAGATTAACAGAATGAATTCAGTTTTGGACATGTTGAGTTTAAGATGTCTACAGGGCATCCAATTTGAGATATTTGAAATGAAATTGGAGATGCAAGATTGGAATTCAGCAGAGAATTTGGGGCGGGCGAGGTAGATTTGAGAATCATGAGCATAGAGATAATAAATTAATCCATGGGAGCTGATAGCATCAGCAAAAGAAGTAGTGTAGAGGAGGAAGAAAAGAGGCCCAGGACAAACCCTTGTGGGTCACTTTCCTTGGAGGTATGACCCGGATAAAGATCAAGCAAAGGAGAATGAGAAGGGGAAGTCTGCTAGGGAGGAGAACCAAGAGAGAGTGGTGTCCCAAAAACCTAAGAAAAGAGAAAATCAAGGAGAAGAGGGTGATCAACAGTGTCAAAGGCTGCAGAGGGTCACATGCTACAAAACTACAATCATTCATTTAATCAACAAACATTTATTAAACACCGACTATGTGCAGGACATTGTGCTAGACACTGGGGGATAAAAAAAAATTCCTATTCATGAGGTGCTTAAACTAACAACTGATTTATATGATGCTTTAAAGTTTACAAAGCATTTTACCTATACTTATCTCATATCATATGAGACTTATAACAGTCTTGTGAGGTAGAGACTGCAGTTATCATCCCCATTTTAGAGATGAGGAACCTGAGGCTCTAAGAGCATAAGTGGTCAGAAAGCTATTGAGAGTCCAAGGTGGCCTTTAAACTTGGATTTACTAATTCCAAATACAGTAGTCAATCTAATGTGCCAAGCATGATAATGTTTCAAGGAAAGAAAACCCACTGGCGCTGTAGCTATCCTCTTCCTCCTCATCTCAGGCTTCTCCCTGAGCTCATTCCCTCTACTCTTACCACATTCTCATTCAGCTTACTGGAGGCAGCTCAGTGTTCAGTGGATGAAACACTGGGCCTGTAGGCAGGAAGAACTGAGGTCAAATCTGGCCTCAGGTATTTACTAGCTGTGTGACCCAGGACAAGTCATTTAACCTCTGTTTGCTTCAGTTTGCTCATCTGTAAAATGGGAATAACAATAGCACCTACCTCACAAGGTTGTTGTGAGGATCAAATGAGATAATATTTGTAAAGCACTTAGCACAATACCTAACACATAGGAGGTGCTATATAAAAATGCTGCTATTATTATTAGTGATTATCACCATTACACATCAACCAAATCCCTCTGGTCTAAAAGACAACAACTCCCTTCCCATTTTCAGGCCACATAAATACTTTGGTGACAGTGCTGCTGACATTATCATTTATGCATTTTACCTGTCCATGGCATCTCAAGGGAGCCTGTTGTACACAAGGATATCATAGATAGTTGCTGTCCAGTAGTCAAGATGGTATTGTAGAATACTGATATATCTCAAGTAGGAATTGAGAAGAAAGTAGTTCAGGGTCAATGAGTAAATTGTGGAAACACCAAAGTTACTCTGAATACTCCTTTTGCTCAATGTTGATTCCTAGCACCTCTTAGTTGTACCAGTACTATCACTAGTACTAGTGGTAGTAGCAGTAACAATGTTAGGTGTGGACTTGTGATTTCATTTGTGTTAGGAACTTCCAAATTGAAATTTTTTTTCTGCCTTTGCAGTTCAGCAACTCAACCATGATTTTAAATCTTTAGTTGCCTGGTGCACTGACTCCAGGATGAGTCAGAGGAAGGGCTTCAGTTATGGTCTTCCTGACTTCAAGTCTGGCTCTCTGGACGTGACTCCAAACTATATCTCTTTAATGTTATTATATTTGCATTTATTTTTGCAATCCCTCCTACTTGTGATTAACATAAAAAAACCATAAAAAACCCAGCATATAATCAAGAGTATGTTGGCAGAGTGAGAAGGGAAAAAGGGGAAATAAGCATCCTTAAGCACCTGTTATGTGCTAGGCATTGTATATATAATCAAATGAGATAATATTAAATTAATTGTCTCATTAATTAAGTTAAATGTTATTAATCATTAATTCAATATTAATTAAATATCTTATTAATGATGAGATAATACCAAATAAATGAGGATCAAAGGAGATAACAGTAACTGGCACATAGTAGGTGCAATATGAATGCTAGTTGTTGTTATTACCATCATCATTGTTATTGTTAT